CCATCTTGGAATTGAGTAAATATGGTATGCAAGATCAGCAGATGCAACAGAGGCTCCCAACTTTGATCCAGTTCAACATTTATTTCCAGTTTTAGTCACCTTTACATCCCAAAAGAATTGGGAGGGAGGGGGAGGGGAGATGGAAGGTTTTTCTTTTCTAATATACATATAGTCTCAACAGACAGCAAATTCCATTTTTTATTAGTATGGAAGCATTAAATGTCAAACACCTAAGAAAGGATTACAGGAAGAGGGTAGAAAAAAGATTGAGAACAATCTGAATGTGAGTTACTTGCTGGTATCACCCACTGAAAGAGTTTGACAACTTTGTCTTCATGGCTGGGAAACTGGTGACTGCTTATCTGATGACAGCCTATTACAGTCTGATTATCTGTTGTTAGAAATAATGTCTGGCTTTTATTTCTGCTCATAATTTCATTGTATGCTACCAAAAAGATTCTAGTATTTTGAAAAGTTAGGTTAAATTTAATGATAGATCCAACTATAAAAATAATTTTTGCCAGTAAATCAAAAGGGTAACAACCAGATTCTGCATTAATTGCCAGGTTTGTTTCAGCATTATTTTAGCTACGCATTCATGTGTGCTTCTGAAGCATCTAATGACATTCAAAGGGAGTCTTCATTACTTTGAGAACTGACAACCTTAAATGCTATTACTTTCGTAAAACTTAATTTCCAAGATATTTAGTTGATTTTTTTTTTTTTTGCCATTTCAAGGGGAGTTGCATAAATCCCATGAAACTATTTGGCAAAATAGAACAAAAAACTACAAAAAATTAATGTTAATATTTGGTACAGAATACCAAAAAGAAAGCTACAGCATTACAACAGAATGCATTTTTTCTTAAAATACTTACATTAGCAATATCATTTTCTGTTGCTCGGAAAGGCAACCCTCTCATGTGAACAAAATGACCACCACCATGAAAACCTGAACCTGCATCTCCACCTCCACCATAGCCATGTCCTCCCATACCTGTAAAACAGTACACTTGAGAATCTCAAGAAAAGCTAGACACACCCATTACCACTATTGGCTCCTGTCTTTAAAAGTGTATGTACTATGCAACTGCCGCTCTAGATTGGGACATAACTACATTTTCAAATGTAGCAAACACTAGTAACTTAAGAGCATTAATCAGAACAATTCTGCTTTCCAGATACTTCTACTTGAACTGATTTATTAATCTATTTTTTCTATGACTTACGTTAGCAGCTGTTCTTTAGCAATGCTCAAATAGTAGAAGTTTTTTAAATGCTGATTTTACCTCTCCCATCTCTCATTCTGTCATCATAGCCATCGTTTCCATAGCCATAGTTATTATAGCCACCATAATCATCGAAGCCACCATATCCTGTACAATTTAAAAAGAGAGCCATAATTATGTTCACAAAAATTCAATAGATAAAAACAAGTCTATAATTCCACTTGTTAACTTAGACATCTGACCAATATAAACACAAATTCTCACTTTTAAGTGCTTAACATTTAGACATGCAAATTATTTTTTCCAACTTCTTCCCTCAAAATGTATTTCCATGTTTCCATACAGTTTCTATTACCTTGCAATATTTATGTGCCAGCACTTTCAGCAACACTCATTGTTGGTATGTCAGTAAGAATCCAGTTATAAATATGTATTTTTTTTCCCAAACCTAGCAGGTACTGAAGTTAATGACATTTCTCCATTTCTTGACAAAAATGTCAGAAACACGAAACTGTCAACAGAACCTTTGTTCATTAGATACACATACCACCGTCATATCCACCACCTCCTCGACGCATTCTGTCATACATACTTCCACGCCCAGCTCCATAATAACCCCCTCTTCCTCCTATTGGTCTATCATATGGTCCAGGTCGTTGCTGTCCCATCATTCTTCTTGGTGGGTCATAGAATCCTCTGATTTCACTCTTACTACTTTTGAAGATTTCAATATATCTAAATAAAAAAGTATTTTCAAGATACAAATAAGAACACGTGCACAAGCTGTTTGAAAATTACAACGGCTGCACTAAATTAGTTAACTGTCTTTCTAAAGCTAGATATACTCCAAATACAAACAAAGATACCATACAATTTAAGTCACCCAATAACCTTAAGATTCTTAAGCGTATCAATAGAAAGCTTTTATTATTAGTAAATTTTACTGTGAAAGAATTCTGACTGTATAGTTTAAATACAAGAGAAGTCTTTGTACTAAACTTGTACTTCTACTCTTGAAAAATAGCTGGCTATACTCATATTTATCATAGAATATCCTACACAAAAAAAATTGAAACAAAGTTCTGATTTTAGCAAACTACATAGTGTAATACTGTCTTCCCCCACCCCCCAAAAGCTACTGTATTTGCCAAGTTAAACTTAGGATCATAATTATAAATTCTTTAAAATAGTCAGTTAAATATTATGGTCCCCAACCCCCCCAAAAAAAGCATTACTGACCCACAACCCCCAAAAATAAAGATTTAACACCATCCCAAACTCTCCATCCCCACCTGTGCCCTATTCTTTCCTTGTGTTTCCCCAGAGCATTTTCTGCTATCTCCTTTGAAGCAAACTGCACGAAGGCCTCCCCTGTGCTTCTCCCCTGGTAGTCCAGCGTCAATGTTATCCCATTTGGCACGATTTCCAACCCTTTAACCCAAGGACAAATAACCCCATCAAGGGGAACAGTGTTAAAGGCTGAAACATTCCCATCTGTAGCAAATACTTAAAAGCATGTCTAAACAACAACAAAAAATATATCTGTTTCCCCCATCACCCAACAAAACAAGCCAATGATCTTTCATTAAACATTATGGGTTTAGCTATACTGTTATAGCTTAAAAACAGATAATCCCACCTATGTTATATGAAGAAACGACTACTAGTCAAACAGTTTAACTTTGCTCCAAATTCTAATATATAACACAGTAGCTTTGTTTCAAAAAAAAATTACTGCCTTGACAGAATCAGATATATCGGTTTTTTACTATATCAAATATTATCATCTAATTACAAATGCATAAGTTTTTACTTTGGAAATATAATTTAAGACAACCCACCCCCCACCCAATAATTGGTTATTAATAAATTAAACTACATGAAACAGTAACAGAAGTGAACATAGCAGAAATACAAAAATCTCAGCGACTATACTTTGTCTATACTAGAGATACCTTGGAAAAACTGGACAATCTCCTCTTTGCTGCAACCAAATGGCAGGCCACGAAGTCGTACTACTGTTCCATCATTAGATGCATCATTTGGGCCATTATGTTTCCCACTCCAGTCCATTTTTTTCTATTAAATGAAACACTACAGGAAAAAAAAAAACAACAAAAGAGAATAAACGTATTACTAAGCTCCACTAAAAAAACCCCCAAGAGTCCAAGTTTCTTATGTTGAAAAGTTAAAAGTTATGTGAAGATTACCAGCTGTATCCCTATTACACACTTGAGTTGCAGTATAATAGAGAGGATGCATCAAACTTTGATAATAAGCATGACTTAATTCAGCACACTGCCAAATCTGAGGGGCTATGAGTGTGTATCCTCACTGGTGTTGCTTAGAGGCATATAAGATTACAGGAAAAACATTGGCATACTTGAGGAGAACTGATTGTTTTGTTTCAAGAGACAAAAGGCTAGAGTGCATTTTTATGTGGCCTGTTGTACTGATGCAACTGGAAGCCCTCAGGGTAACTTCAGGGAGATTTTTTTTTTTAACCCCCATACTATTAAAAGGCAGCAGAAAGAACATAAGCATCTATGCACTGGGAGACAAAGATGCACTGAGCTGGGATCAAGACTTGCAGCCCGGTCCCTATAAAGGCACACCTTTCCCTTTGGCTGCTATTTGGGCACGATTCAAAGTTCCCAGACTTGCTGCAATTCCCTCCACACACGGGAGTGCTCCCTACACATCCCGCACACCGAGCAAGTGCAGGGCTCTGTGGTACGAAGGGGCACAGTTCGGAGCACGAACAGCGCGGCTTTTCAGAGGTCCGCGACTAGTTACTGTCCCGTGCCCGCAGCTTCACCCGCCAGGTCCGGCCCCGGCCCGCAGTG